TGAAGTTCTTGAGCTTCGTTTCAAACTCATCAATTTTGTCAGAGAAGTATTTCAGAGAATTTTGCAATTCCTCTCTGAGTATGACGTTCACTTCTTTACGTATCTGTTGCATTACTTGTTGAACAATCCGAGTAAGGTCTATCTATCTTTATTCACCGTTCACAGTTCACACAGTAAACACACAACATTGATCATTATACACTCACTGTATTCTTTACAAGTCCTTATAAAGTCACTCACAGCTTAATAGTTCCGAAATCGCTCCACTTTACAGGTAGGTAACAACAATTTAATAATATAAGTTATTTATGGGACTGTTACCATGTGCCTTGTTTTTAGCGAGTTTCCGATATTTCGGCACTGTTGCAAGCGCCATGATCACAGAGTAACTGAAGTAGTTGCGGGTAGGCTGTTATTGGCAGACATATCGGTCTACCCTCCGACGAAGTCTTTTATTGCGTTCGATACCCGTATTACTGTTCACATTCTCACTATTCACTCGAAACTGTTCTTGACACACAACACTTACAGTATCGGATCGCGACACGACACCTTTTTGATTATTTCCAGTTTTACACATACGAACCACAGAATTCCAGACACTCGACAATTTAAATCCGTCCTCACGATTGAAATTTTTATGTTTTGTTATTTTAATCGCTTCCCTGACCAATCTTGGTATGTAGTGGCATTCTGTCGAGATAATCTGTGGGTTTTGAAACTCAATCCAGTGGTTAGTTAGGACCAGATTCAATCAAATGTTCCGCGATGGCTGATTTCTGCGTATCGTTGTTCTTGATTGCTTTTATGTGTTCCCTCATTCGGCATGATACTGTTCGCTTTGTTTGGCCAATGTACAAACTGCCACAGCTGCAATCGATCTTATAGACACCAGGTTTCTCCAAGGGGAAGTTGTCTTTAGGAGACCGTAGGTATTGTGAAACCTTTCGCACAGGAGTGAAGACAGTGTTTAGTGAGTACTTATTCAGTATGTTTGAGATCTTGTCAGTCACTCCTTTGACGTATGGCAAATAAACAGGTTGTCTGTCTACTCTGTGTCTCTGGTGTCTTAGTTTGTGTCTAGATGGAAAATGTCCCTGGTATCCATTACTCTGTAAGACTCGTCGTACATGCTCCAACTCTTCTTGAAGATGTTCGTCATCACACAGGTCATATGCACGTTTTGTCAGTGAAGTCCCTACAGAGTTAAGATGTTTAGGGTGGTGATACGAGGAGGCGTTGAGATAGCGGTCAGTGTGTGTAGGTTTGCAGTAAATGGAATGACCAAGCGAACCGTCATTCCTCACCCGAATCTTCACGTTCAGAAAGGTCAGACTTCTGTCTTCTTACATCTCATAGGTAAAGTTGATTTTAGAATGGATACCATTTAGATTTGCCAAGTGAGACTCGACATCACGTTTGTTACCTCTTTATATACAGAATACGTCATCGACATACCTCTTCCATAGTTTTATTTCTGTGGGTGCGGTGGTACATGGTAACAATCCCGTAAATAACTTATATTACTATAATGTTAGTGACCATGAAATTTTAAAACAATATATAGGTAACAACAATGCAAATGGGACATATTTACAAATAATAAACATCGGAAATAACAAAACAATGTTATTAATAAGGCTCCCAAGGTTCGAATAAAGTATATACCGCACGTACGTATGTATTCAAAAGAGTATGACGTAATATATTACACAAACAAGAAAAAGTAATATAGCAGCTTCCGAAGCAATTTAATTAGAAACATCACAGAGCACCTCAACACTTTTACTGCAAGTATTCTCTTTAGGTTTTCTTGATGTAATTAAAGTAGGTACATTAACAACTTCGATCTAATCTAATACTAGTGAGTTTAATGTTTCGTGTCTGACTTGAGACTGATCTACTGCGAAAGTTCGTCTTGGAGATAGGAATTTGCTTCGAGTCGACTAGAAATTTATAGGTACTGTTGAATTCTGAGTGTTTCATTAATCTCCAATCAGTGACTAAAATCATCTCTTCTTCTTTCCAATCTTATTCAAGGTGGCACAAAAGTTATGATCCAATTTTGTTCAAGTATAACTTTTTTGCCAAACAAAAAAAAATTGTGTGGTGGAATCTTAATAAGGACCTTTGTTTTTTTTCTCTTGATGGAAAAGATGATATTCATCAATTGGCTACCCCAAGTGTTGATACACATTAATGCTTGTTTTATCGCATTTCCATGAATGAAGTTGATGAAATGTGTTATATTTCGCATGGCCCAACTAAATTGTCCATTTTTTTTATCTTATTGTTATCCCATAATATTACTTAAAAATTCTAAACATAGGTTGTAAGTTCTATTAATTGTGTTTACCAGGTTTATAAAAATACACCAGGTTATAAAAATAAGGCCCACTTGCAGCAAAATATGCTAAACCTCGATTCAACTAAAACTAGGTCTATCCCATAGAAAAATGTCAAAAAGTCTATGTCAATTTGACATCATTGTTTGGGCCATATCTAGTTTTAGTTTTTTAAATTTATTTACTCATTACCCTAAACTTATTGTGATGCATCATGTATCATTACTTCGAAATCAGTCAGAATCACTATAATAAAAAAAACGCTCATAAATAATAAATAAATATTTCCAACACTCACACCAATTAGCCTAGTCCCTAAGTAAGCACTATAAGGCTCGTGTTATGGTATGCTACGGTAACGGATAGAATACATACACTGAACATATATAAGTATATTTTTTTTATAGAAATACATATTAAACATCCATGACTGGAGTACAAATATGCTCATATTCATCACACAAACATCTGCCCCCACCGGGATTTGAACCCGGGAACTCTTGAGTCGGCGACACCATGAAACCCGGCGTACAAACCACTCGGCCACGGAGGTCGTCAAATAAGGCTCATGTATGACGGAACATCAATAAAAACGAGCGAGCCTTACAGTAGTCGCGTATGATTTGTAACATTAGAAACCTCACCTTATATTAGTAAAAAAAGAAATAAAACCTACTTCAAAAGGAATAAGCCATTTCAACATTATGTTCTAAAATCAAATCAAATAGCGCGCACTTTCGCGACTTCCTGTTGCACACTTCCGTCCCATTTCACGAAATCACTCCCATAAATTGCAGGAAAGCGAGAGGAAAGATGTTACACATCAAAAACAGCTGGGCATTGTAATTATTCGTGAAAATCTATGTTTAAGCTCTGATACAAATAACGAGAACCGGATTTGAAAATGCATTATCAATTCTCATTTATCGACTGAGTATCTAGTAGATCCGTTGTTTATCCACGTGGCTGAAGACAAATAAACGAGAAACATTTATTATTCTCTACCGAACCTGATGGCAACATTAATGCGCTATGTGCAGCGGATATAGAAGCTATAACATTAGTTTGCATTTGATATAAAGGATCGGAATAGCAGATTATTTGCTAAGGCCCTTTTCACATGCACACGGTCACGGCACGGCCGCCATGCCGTGCAACCGTGCTAGCTCTTTCACATGTATACGGCTTACACACGGTCGCCGGCTATGGATGTTGCAGTATTATCGAGAATTTTGGGAAACGACGACGTCTTTTATCATGGAACAAAAAAAAATTCTTATCATTATCATCTAATTCTTCGACACTACTATTTAATCCTATACATACTTCTTTCCACGCTTCTTTTGTCTCGTTCCTGATTTTATAAGACGCGATGATTTTATCCCATAAAGTAGGACGCGCTTCAACTAGCGAAATCAACACATCAACATCGATTTCGACAGACATTCTGCAACAATCGTCCGTCCGTTCCCCTATGACTTTAGCTGACGAATGGTATTTGCGCTCGCCGTGCCATGCCGTGTCCGTGTACATGTGAAAAGGCACTAAGGGCGCAAATAACTATTTTATAGGTGACAGCGTGTTTTAAATCCTGAGAGCAGCGTGATAATTAAAGGGCGTCGCTCAAGGTATAGAATAGTGTTGCTCCCGAAGTGCATTTACCCCACCTGGTGGATTTACCACATTTATGTACAATGTTGTGGTGTTTTCAATAAAGAACTATGTATTGTATCGTATTGTCCTTTTTATCACCCTCTATGAGAAAATAAGTTATGCAACTACGAATATGTAAGGAAAGTGCGTTTATTTGTTTACATACAAGAATAACAAGACAAGCTTATAAATAGGCCAATAACATATTGCCTGAAAAATATTTCACCATTCTTACATTTTTCCAAAAGATGAAATTTTCATATGCTTTTAAATATTACTCGGAGGACTTTGTAGGTAAAATAATTTATATCACATTTTAGCATACTTTCATCCTCACTCCTCGAGGAAGACACTCATATTTTATAAAACCTGGTAAATCCAAATTTTAGTAAACAATAATTATGAAGAAAGGCGGAATGCATTTCGCGCATATTTTTTCACAATCTTAATTTTTTATTTGGGGAGTACGTTGTTTACCCCGTGACTTATTCATAAAATATCCATGTTTGATATTTTTGGTGATTGGAACTTTTACTCACAATATCCACATTCCTAATTCAAATCACTTTTAGTCCCTATGGATTTAACGCTATTTTAGTCCATGTAAACAGAGAACAAACTAGCTCTTTTTTGTATAGATAGATGTAGTAAAAAGATAAAAAGGTATGTGAATTGATCTACTCCGAAATGGCTCGACCGATTTTCGTGAAATTTTATATGCATATTCAGTAGAATCGGACACCATCTATTTTTCATACCCCTAAATGTTAAGGTCCACCCTTAAATTATTATTTTTTTTGGACTTTTTTTTTGTTTTATGATACATCATACAAAAATACACAACCCTAAATTTTCACCCTTCTATCTAGTATAGACAGCTAGTTATACAGACATATAAGAAAAGTGAATAAGGTTGCTTATTCACTTTTCTTTAGGCTCATGTATGACGCTGATCCATTCCCTTATGCCTTATGCACCGCATAAGTAGTTAGGTCATATAAGAAAAGAAGTTTCACTTCAGATGTGAGGTCCGTGCACATTTTTTTTAAATATAGCATCATACTAACATTTGCCCCACCGGGATTCGAACCTCTTGAGTAGGCTACCTTGATCCATCGGGCTCGGTGATGAGTTCTGTGCTTTTTATGTGACTTTGTCCATAAAATTTTATTGTCTATATTCTAACATTATGGACTTATTAAGCTAATGACGATGTTGATATTTTTCTTACCACAGCAAAAGAATAACTACATGTAACAAGGACTCAGCAGTGCAATCAAGTAGATTTCTTCTAGGCCTAACTCTACTAGTTAAACTTTTCTATATAATACTCCTATCTCGCAGTGCCGTAAAAGATTGATAACTGTAATAGTCTTGACTTAAATATAGTAAAAATCATGTTTGAAGACGAAAAACCTTTATAAAAACACATTGACGATACAAACATAAATAGTTTAAAACCAATCTATATAACACAGAAAAATATTAATTTAAAAACGATTTCAAAAATATTAAAACTGGTACATCTGGTTTAGCCTTCGCGTAAACATGGGAAATATTTTCGGGTTTATCGATTTTTGTTTCAGTTACTGATCTGCGTACAGTTAATGTATTTTTGATATGATGATTCGTATCATTATGAACTATATTCAATGTCTTATTGAAGACATTATTGTTATACTGGCTGGTGTTGCTAATGATATTACCATCTGTGAAATTAGTATTCCTGTTTGTGATATCCTCAGTAGAGTCTACTATGTAGTTCATTTTTATTTTATTCTCAGTTTTCAATTCGGTCTTCCCATTGTTATGACTTTTTATATCCTGTTCTACTTTATCATAATTGCTTAACACTGAATTGAACAAAGTGTAAGAAGTTTCTTTTATAACAGCCTTTTTAGAATCAGTGTTTCGTTTCTTTCTTACACGAATACCTCGTTTAGCTTCTTCTTCGTAATCCGCTTCTTCCGGTTTTTCAAAGTCTTGGTTATCAGATTTTATACCTTCTGTTTTCTCGAAGCTATTAAAAACACAAATGTATTAAAAAGTTTCATATTGAGAAATTAAGAATCACGATAAACAAGGAAGGCTGCTTAATCATATTAACACGTTTACGCATTACCTATTTATTTTCTGTATATTTTTTACTATTTTAATGTCTTTGAAAATAGTAAGAAGCCCTAGGCCTAATTCATCTTGTTCTGATTTTTTTGTTCTAATAAATTATCGGCACTGGGCTATATATAAAATATAAAAGCTCTCATGCATAAACTGGATCGTGATGATAATATCAATGTGCTTTAAGTACATGTTCTCGGCAATTAATATAAAAAAATCACCTAAAATCACTTAAAAATAAAAAGTAAGCAATAACTTTGACATGGAAACTGAAAAAAATTTTTTTTCGTCTTTCCAAAAATTGACATTTTATATGACTAAGACTTTAAAAATTAACATAAGTTATACCTTGGGAACATTGATTTGTCCATCAGCAGCTTATCTTTAACTCTATTGAGTTCTGAATTGTCGAATCTTCTCGCATCCATTTCTCTCTTAGGTATTTCTTCTAATGCTATTCTATTAGTAGGTTTCTGTACACCTGGTGTTGGTGGTAGTGTCGGTCTCTCTATTCCAGTTTTATACCTGATAGGTTTAGGGTAGAAATGCGCAGTAACTGGAACGTTGTCGTACTCCTCAGTGCTAAATAATGTACGTCCCATAGATCGCTCTAAGTTTTTCGGCAACAACCAATTGTCGGATGCTCCTATCATAGATTCAGGCACTGCTGTTCTGATGGGGTTCACTGTAAGACTAAAGCGTTCAAATGGAATAGCGGCTTTGTCTATATATATGTGATTATTATCTGGCGAGTTTGGTTCAATCATCATTCTTCTCCCATTTAGTAAGTTGTTTCTTCTTGGATCAACTGTAGTTGTCTGCAATAAAGAATAAACATATCACTACCTTGGGTTAGAAAGGTAGTAAAAGCCATAAATCTTACTTTATTAGACGAACAAAAAACAAAATTTTAAAAACATTTTGGCTAGTAACTTGTTTTTATCTTATAGTTGACCCTATTAACTGAGATTTGTTATTTTTTCTGTTCTTTGCAATGGAAAGCCTTATTTTATTGTCAGTCTCTTAGTTTAGAAGTTAGCGTGGATTTACAACCATATAAATATATATATATACATACATATATATATTTATATTTATATGCTTAATAAAAATGATAAAGTAGCTCAGAGCAACTTTATTAATGATTACTGACGTACAAAAAAAATGTGAACTAGGTATTCATTAGCTGCAACGAAACACGAACGTATTTTATAATTAAAAGTACTGTCACTGTATCGCATTATTAACGTTGTGTTTACGTTTTCTTGAATAATAACTTGACTTGATTAAGCAAAAAAATGTTTTATTTTGATAAAAAGCAAACTACGTCGTATGAACCACTAACACAAAAAAATAAAGCCAAAGGGATGTATAAACCATGTATCTCTGCTAATGGTCGTTACAACCACAGCTATCTGGGTATTTAACTATATTATTAAAAGATAAAACCTTTTCTATTATTATATTTAGGTATTCCTATTATTAGACAGGCACTAATATTGATATCAGGTAACTAAATTGTGGCAAAAACTTTTCTAACCCAGCGATGGCCCGAATTTCATAGGAACTGGAAAGGGAGACCTGTGACTATTGTAAAATAACCTTATTTTACCAATTATAACGTCTAAAATTAATATGATGAGTTGCCGATGATGTAGGTATTTCTGCTATCATCGGCGGCTCTTAACGTATCTTTTCAAATGGAGTAATCAGTTTCAAATTCACTTGTAAAAAATGCCTAAGGATGTAAAAGTCAATTTTCACTTCACGAATGTGTTCCAATGGGTGTAGTATATACATTTCCCTCAATTGATCTACTTGAGTTCAGGGTGTAAAAACCAAAATTCTACTAAATATTTGGAGTTAAAAGGTTGTAAATCGAAATCATACTGAACTTTGGTTTTTACAACCAAGCGCAATTTGATACTTTGGAAGTACACCATACTCGACTCAAATCTACAGTCTTTTACAACCTGAGCTTGAAAAAAGAAATGGCATTACTCCAAATGGTCATAGCAACAATATTTTATGTGGTTCTTACATCATAAATTCCAAGGAAAACTCTATTTAGACGTTGAAGATATCAGGGCTGTAAAAACCATTTTATTGCGAATTAGATTGCGTCACATAGACCAATCTATAGAACGGAAAATGCTGAATAAAAGTGCACTCATAACTCATTTTAGGTAAAATGGTTTAAACGACCTTTCTACCCCAAGGTGTCGACATTTAATAACCTCGCGCGCACGATCGTACAGAGTCTACGTGCGGAAACGGGGGCTCATCACAAGTAACACATATAATAAGAATCTAAAAAGGAGGAGAAACTTTCTTAATAACAGTAAAAAATACAATTACTTTGTTCAGTAAAACTTAATGATATTTTTTTTCAAAAACAATATGTAATTACCTTATCGTAATTTATCGTCAGGCCTCGATTGTTGGATTTTCTCATATTCATCATACTCTGAATTGCTTTTAACTGATCCAATGAATCTGTTGAGAATTTCTTCACAAACTGTAATAATATAAAATAAACTGTGAATACGATATATCGAAGAATAAGATCGAAATATTATTTTAAAGAAAATTATGCCTCTCATATTGGTAAACAATAAAGGCATTTAGTCTAATACCCCAGTCTATATCGACCTTCACCGAACTGATAATAGAATGAAACATATTTTATCATGAATTTAGTATATTAGTAATAAATTAAAAATGGGTTGCCTAATAAAATCCTGGACAGACTATTTTTAATGTATAATTCTTGAAGTATAAAACGTATAAAATGTGCAGCCGTTGGGGTTTCTATTATTTACCTGGGAAACCTACTGGGCTGCCAGGTACAAATAGGTATATCGATGCCAGTTACACGGTAATTTTATCTATACAGTATTGTGACTCGGCCCTGTCCTTGAAATAACTGCCTTCGGCCGAGCGGGGCGTATCCACGCGGTAGAGCTGCCCCGCACAGTACTTAAATTTCATCTACATAATTAAGTTTTTTCTAGTTTTGTAACTGTAAATATTTTATTTCATATGTAAAAAAAATATTGTGAATGAATTAGGAAGTGTTACATAAAATATATGTTATTTTAAGTGTAATATTTAATAAAAAAAACTATATAGATTTGAGACAGAAAAATATTTACGTCTCGACTGAGACGTACGAAAAGCTTTACTATTAAATTTAATAGTATAACAAATACGCATTCGCAACAGCACAATATCGACTATTGCTCTTTGCAATATTAAATTATGTAGATATCTACTTAATTCAATCAAATATTTAACAAATCGCACGTTTAAGCACGGCTAACTGCATATACGAGTAAAACAATTCGCACCGTTCGGTCGTCGCTGCGGCGCATTCGCGACAGGATGTCCACCGGGTGCCGCGCGAACTCGAGTAGCGTAGGTATTACACGCTTACCGACCGTTTGTATGAAGATAGAATACTGTATAGATAATATTACCGTGCCAGTTATGTTCCCCAACGGCTGCACATTCTATACGTTTTATACTTTAATTCAGGACAACATTTTCTTATTATTAGATGTTGCAACATTTAACTCAAAATATATTTTGTGGATTGATTAAAAAATATAGTTTGTCCAGGATTTTTCCATTTTCATTGTCCATTTTTAATATACTAAAATCATAAAAAAATGGTTTCATTCCATTATCAGCTTGGTGAAGTTCGATGTAGGTTCGGATCTTCTACTAATTGTTAATCTACAAATGTAACAGCCCGAGCTTAAACACTAAAATTATTTCAAATTTACATAATTTATTACCATGACTGAATATACAATACATACATTGACGACCTCCATGGCCGAGTGGTTTGTACGCCGGGTTTCATGGTGTCACCGACTCGAAAGGTCCCGGGTTCAAATCCCGGTGGGCCTGCATCGTCATCTGCCATGTTTGTGTGATGAATATAAGCATTTGTACTCCAGTCATGGATGTTTCATATGTATTTCTATATAAATATACTTATATATGTACAGTTTAAGTATTCTATCCGTTACCCTAGCATCCCATAACAGAAGCCTTACAGTGCTTACTTTGGGGCTTGGCTAATTGGTGTGAGTGTTGGAAATATTTATTTAATATTTATACATACATCCTAAATATTTATCCAACTAAAAGTGTTTGTGTAAATAAAAGACCAATAAACAAAAAAAAATACTAAGACTATGGTATTAAAATTTGTATAAAAATGTAGCGATTATATTAATACAATGAGTATTGCGCGAGTTTATTATAATAATACATATTTACATAATTATTGGCATGACGTTCAAGCTCCATGATCACAATACTTCTTTACTTATCATGTCTAAAATGTTCACTATTGGCAAGCTTAGAAATATAAGATACAAGTATAAACTCACGTCCATCATATCCTCGTCACCTCGGTATGTCGGTGGAGGCGAAGTAGCCGCAGGCGGTTTTGCTGTCAGTTTCATCAAGGAGCCCTCAAAATTGTTATTTTCATCAGATTGCAACACAGAATCATCCAATCTTCTGCCAGATCGTGGTGACACTACTACTTCTTCGGGCTCAGCAGTTACAACTAAGTCGAAATCGATGGTAAAGTGCTTAGAGTAAAATCCGAAATACTAAAAATCCGAAAACTTTTGATTGTAATACACAAACGTTCACTTACGATTTGACTCTTTTATCAGACCAGATACAGGCAAATGTCCGGCCCTCCGGAATCCCATGTCATCACCCACCAGGTCGTCATCGAAAATACCTCGCTTCAGGAACACCGATACGTTTGTCTCTGTAATAGGTATAAAAAGTGTAAATATTGTCATTATTATTGAATAAGTAATAATAGTTACAGGTTCCAGTAGAATCACGCCTGGAAAATAATAGTCTCAATAATTCCTGATTATAAGCTTTTGGGTTCGGTGATCTTGGCCCCGGAATCAAGCGAAATACGAAAGTACAGCTAACCAACGACGAGGCAACAAGCCAACGAGAAGCAATACAAAATGTAAATAAAGTTGATGAAAATGCCAATCAATCAATCCAGGGATTGGCGTTCTTTTTGAAAATGACAATTTAATTAATGAAAATTAATATAGGATATTTATCATTTTCTAGGCATATATTTAAATAAAATGTAGAAAACTATCATTCATATTATCAAAACAAAATCACAACAGTACAAAATACTAAAGCTATTTGTTATTACCATGTACCATGATGTATCGGAGAGACACGAAACGAAATGAGAATATGTCATTATTTTTTTAATGTAAAATGTGCGCCCGAATGTTGGCAAACTCTGCGCCTCGGCGATGACATGACATGACAGAACAAGACCTCATGTCATGGGATGAAAGAGATACTCGTAGTTATTAGACTGCCAGTCCTGCCATAACCTGATAATTTAAAACAATATTTTGTGTGACCATTTAACATTAACAAACCTTTCATATCGATGTATTCAGCTAAGGAGTAATTGTATCCCATGGCGATGCCAGACATGGAGGCGGTCATCATGGACATGCATACCGCTGAGCACATGCAGCATGACATCACAAACACCCATACTCTGTGATTAAAAAGAAATGTTATTAGAAATTAATTGCTTATCTTCAGCAGCTCCATGACGCAGGTGGATAAAGCGTTCGGCCTGCGATCGCGAAAGTTAAGCAACTTTGGTAATGGTCGGTCATTGAATGGGTGACCAAAACTTATTATCTCGAGCTCCCGTTACATCTGCAGTTGTTAGCACAAACCAATCCGCAAGGGCCCGTGTGGTGGGTCACGTCCCAGTCTCCCTTTTCTATCTACATTCCACATGTCGCCGCTTCTTGGCAAAACAATGTCTCTCTGATGTCCTTGGTTCAATCAAGAGCCTGACTAATAGAAAATTACTGTTTGTCTTCACCCAGGTCTGGGATTATGATATCTTCGTGAGTACTAATCCGTACTAGGCCTGCGTGGTGGATCATGGCCCAATCGCCCTATTTCATCCATAGGGAAGGCTTGTGTCCCAGTACTGGGGACTCTAATAGTCTGGTGATGATGAATTGCTTACCTACCTATGTAAATTGAAATAAAGAATTTTGGTAGCCTATCACATATGATATGTTACCAAATTTCTTTTTGTGTGTCATGACACACTGGAGTAAATTAATATTATTACCATTACTTTCTAAGTAAAAACGTTCTAAATAGAATACACTATGTTTAAAAAAAAAACCAGTCCAAGGAGGATGTTGATTAGCAGCGGTAACAGTAAGTCATAAAACAATAAAATTTATCCAATTACTGTCCCTTTATTCAAAATATTGTAAATAGAATTCAGTTCCGATGTCTCTTCTTTATTCCATATGAGATGAACCGAACGCTTTAGAAAAGGCTATAATTGAATGCCGACAGCGCACTGGACTGCGCTCAGTGGTTCAATGATCTGGGTATCGATTCTGCTAAGTTTCATAAACATTGTATGTGTATCAGATTTTGATACACTTGTTGTTATTAAAACCCTTATTAAACAATGACTAAATTCATATTTGCTAAGATATTCCTTTGTTATCTACAATTTTCTTTGTTTTTTGTGTGTTTGGTAACAAGAACTTTGTATAAAAGTGATACTGTTGAAACATTATTAATACGTAAACTTGTTAATTTAGCGGAATCAACGCCTAGATTATAAAGAAAGTTTGCGGGAAGCCGCTGGATTCTGGCAGCGTAGAACCGTTTAGCGATCGTTGGAGTAATTATATTTATTTAGGTATTTTTTCCCGGTAATGATGAAGTAATCAGATATAAATGAGGGCGAAATTGGAAAAATTTAAGTTAAAAATCCAAACCTTTGTACAAGATCGATCATCCACCCGCAGCAGGTAAATATGCAGCACATAGTTCTTGTATGAAAGCAGATTCACTCTTTAATTTGAAATCTAAAACGTAATTTATATGAAACTTAGAAAGGTATTAGAATTTAAGTGGTTTGCCTATTGGTGAGATACTCGTATATAATCGAACTCTGTCAACTATTAAACCGTTTTAATAATAATTTCAGTTTTAAAGTGAAAGTGTTAAAGTGTCAATCATCAATAACTTTTATGATTGGGTTTGAGCAGTTTGACACCTTGACTTATCCAATCAAATTGAAGCGTCCTCTAGGAGAGACACCTTCCATCTTACAGAAGCCTTCAAGCAATTATGGCGATTGTAAAGTGTTTAACTAAGCTTTCATAATGCATATTTCTGCTTATCTATATCGCACCAGCTATAATAATCAGAACTGTATGCAACCAAACTTTATATTAAGAGGTAAATGTAATTTGAAAGTTCTCAATAAATAGATCTGAACATTGGGGCATCTTTCTCTAACTTTTTTGAGATATGGTAATAGGAGTAATAGTTCTTACTAGGAGGTAATTACTAATTTTCATTTAAGATGTCATTAAGTTAAATATATAACTACAGCAGCTCTTCAGGTTAGATAAAACTATACGGAAATATCTCTGACCGATTAATTTTAACCTAATACTACAACGAAAACCTCAAACATAGCTATTCATAGATCCAAATCAATAGCAGAATGTTGCGTTTTATGGAAACCTAAAATTTAATGATAAATCGTGCTGTTTTACAGATTCCGTCTGTAAGATAACCTTAAGACATAAGACACCAGCTCATTCAACGAATTTAAAACTTACAAAGGTACTCACATATGGTCTCAGAAAGAATCAACTAAAGCGTTTTCTTCATCGATTCTTTCATGAGCTTGGTGGTTCTTCGCCACTCAGACATAACGAATAATTTTTAGAGTTTTTTGCAGAAAAATAACTTTACAGTACTTGATTTTTGCCGTCACATGACATTACAATGTCATGATGATCTATAGATAATATTTGACTATTCAGAGAATTGAAGGTGAATTCAAATAGTTATGATAATATCATAGATTGTGACTCTGAGATTTGATTTTAAACCCTATTACTTTTGATATCGTGACATTCTATTATTACAAATCACAAAGCTACTAATTTCTCCACTGCTGGGACCTAAGCTTTCTCCATTGATAAAATAGGAAGAATAAATAGCTCATGACGTCCAACGTGGGTCCAGTGCGAATTGGTGGGTACTAATTAGATACAAGTGGACTGATGAGATACAGCCCAATCCAACGGGCTTACGAAGCATGGAGAAGCATAAAAACACATACTTTTGATGATCAACACTTTAAACGGCGACTTCGAAAGTTACTTAACTTCCATTATCATGGCCTGAATTTTTTATGCTTTAGATGTATTAACCACTTGGGCATTATGCTCCTTGAAATTTACGAAATTGCGAAATAATATACTTACGTCCACAGTTTCTCACATGCACATTTTGCACGTGTTTGATTAAAGTTCACCTAAATATTCAGACCGATTTTTATAAAATTTTGAGAACGTGCAAATTTCTTACTAGATGGTAAAGGTTGATTAATAGCATACCTGTAGTTTCATACTTAACAACATTTGGTTCCACTGGTTTAACTCGTAACTTACTCGTAACTTTAAATCCAGCACACTACCTTATAACCTATAGATACTGGTTGTTTGGAATAATGGCGTGCCAAATAATAGGTAATCATTTATTCATGAATTTCTAACCTCCATTACAGTTTTTTAGTTGACGAGGTCAGTGTCATGGTGCAGCCGGATAGTGCGTTCAGTCTGTGATCGTTGAAATTAAGCAACTTTCCCAATAATCGGTCATTGGATTGGTGATCAAAACTTAATATCAAGGGCTGGGCTGGTAATGATTGCAGTTTTTTCGAGTTCTATAGTTACTGATAGTGAGCTATAAACTGTAAAGACTTAGGGCTGTCCCTGTTCAAGTACTAACACTATAAACAGACATCTTTATTTTGCACATATAGTAAAAATAGCTTACAAAACGCAAACAAATTTTTTTTCGACGCACCAATAACAAGCCTGGCCCCAAAGTAAGCACTGTAGGCTTGTGTAATGGGATCTAGTATCCGTATATATGTATCAGTGATACATATTAAGTATATTTATATAGAAATACTTATAAAACATCCATGATGATTTATTTATTTATTTATGACTGGAGTACAAATGCTCGTATTCATAAAAATTGGTGATATTCCCAATTTTAATGAATACATTTCCCTGTTGTTGCAATGTCACTAATGATGACTTGGACGCAGAATCTCGCTAACTATATCTATTGATAATGACGAAATGTTTCTAACGATCCCCAATAAATCTAAATCTGTCAAATTATTCAGTTTTTTGGATTTTGTGCAAATCATAGAAGAATAAGAAACTCACATAAGTACATTTCCCTAATTTTGTCTTTCGTCGGATAATATCCTCACTTATTGCACATTTTGATGTTGTCAGTACTATGTAACAGGGAATAAAATAAAAAGTAGTCATGTATGATAAGATTATATTACTTAAATTCATTCCGCATTAAAGCTTCATAATTCCGTATTCATGATACCGCTGTGTATTTATGAATTACTGACAAAATATTAAGTTCAATTCTGAAAAGCTTAACTGTATATTTTTTTTAACACGATTTAACCTATTACACATTCATCTTAAAGGATTTTGTTACTGTTTCGTGCTAATGGGTTTAATATTCAGTCAGTACGGTTTTATTTCAATGTAGGTCACATAAATTAAAAAAACAGTGTGAGTGCTCCCTGATGAGAAGTAAAATGGACAGAATTAATTAATGATTTATTTAACTATGGAAACAATAAGCTGATATTCGTACAAATATCCAAGTATAATAATAATAAAGGGTTGTTGTCAGTCAACAGTGTAGTCAATTGGTTTTGTGTAGTCAACAAACTGCAGCCGCTTTATTTGGGGCACACGATCACGTGAAAATTTTGACCCAATTAAAATGATTCAGTAGAAATTACAAATTTGTCTATTGATATCGATGAAAAGCTATTGAATGTTAAAAAAAAAATATATTTCCAACACACACCAATTAGCCTAACCCCAAAGTAAGCACTATAAGGCATGTGTTATGGGATGCTAGGGTAACGGATAGAATACATACACTGTACATATATAAGTATATTTATATAGAAATAGATATTAAACATCCATGACTGGAGTAGAAATGCTCGTATTCATCACACAAACTTCTGCCCCCATCGGAATTCGAACCCGGGACCCCTCGAGTCGACGACACTATGAAACCCGGCGTACAAACCATTCGGCCACGGAGGTCGTGTTAAGTAACAACTTCTTACTGACTTACATAGTTGCAAACATTATTGAGAATTTATTGAAAATTAGGTAGGTACTTATAATATTTGTTTCTTAGGTTATGAATAGGTACTTATAACTTGTAGTGTCACATGGGAACATGACCCCCCAAAATCACACACGGCAAATTCAAAAATCTTCTAAATACATATTTACAAAATAAAAGAAAAACCAAATTTGTGCCCCGAGTCGCGATGCATTCACCGAAGTTTGTGACGATAATCTCTACCCAAATATAGGAACTGCTAAAAATTCTAGCTTCCTATAAGCAGTGCAACATAAGAGAGACATTTTTTTACGCTAAGACTTGTAAACACGTTTGGTGCCCCCTCCAAAATTACAAGCGTGTTTGACTTGGTTGGATTTTATTTGTTTCTTTGGTTTCCGAATGTAACCGTATATTTACACATATTTACATTTAAATAAAAAAAACTTAAAAAATACATGATTTCTAAAATTTAAATTAGACGACAACGCAAATCTTAAATACTAATTTAAAATCAATAAAATGCATAATTTTTGTGGTGACAACCCTATACGTACCGGATGTACCCGTTTCCACAGTGCTACTCGTTGCCACCTCGCAAGCGGAAATAGAGAGCATGCGAAAGGTTTTTACCGGCACTGCACTTCCGCACGACGTTCATATTAATAAGCAAATTTTTTATATTGCGTTTTTGGACCATTTCTTTTACCTACTACGTTTAACCAAAGATAGTAGTGTATTAAGAAGAGGTAGATTAGATTGTGTGCAAAATGCATCTCGCATAATTCCAGCGGTTGGAAAAGCGCCTGAGTTATGCGCACTAAAATAAAATAAAATGCCGAATTGTTGGCTTCGAAAGTGTAAAAACGACGTAATGCATGATAAAAAGGACGAAGGAGTACCTTATCACACGTAAAAACATGTTTGAATGTGTAGTGTAAACTCGGCGGATCAAAATCTTATCGCCGCGCGTTAGAAGATCCAATATCTTTCATGGACCATAATTGGCCTCGTTTTAATAAACTACGTATTAAAAAGAGGCAATTTTTAAAATATCCATATACAAAGATCACTAACTTTGCATTCAAGAATGTTATGGAGGAGCCCGATGGCGCAAGCGTTTAGGTTGTTAAGCACATTCAGTTTGCTATCGTGGAATTAAAGCAATTTTCGCAATGGTCAGTCTTTAGCTGGGTAACCAAAAATTTTCTATCTCGGAGCTCCTCCGTGCTTCGTTGTTGACGGCCACAACTGCAGTCGTAAGAACCCACCAATCCCTAGGGAAGGCCTGTAATCCAGTAGTGGCGACATTAAAAGTCTGTTGATGATGATGATGCCAACAGACGGTGGTCAAACTGCCACGTGAGTGACAGCAATAGGGCTCCATTTAGATCCCTTTTACGGAAACCTAAAAAGACAACGTGAGGTTACTTGTATTAGCTCTAGTTCATATATTGAAAAATGCCAAAGTAATCTTTGACCATCGACCAATAAAAAAAATCTCAACTTATCTTCCGGAAATATGGGACTGTTTTATATTTTTTCCCTTTTCATTAGACCGGGAACGTAGCATGGTAGAGAACTGTTACACCTAACTACAAGGGCGCACTGAATATTTTATTGCCACTCTGACCTTATTCGTACTTAATACACAGGTTTCAATTTCTCTGTTTGCGTAACCTTTTCGTCGTTTTCACTAATGAAATAGCGGCGTTGAATGTGAGGTAAAACTGACTAGAAGTCGTATGTAAATAATTAATTCGGTGGGTAGGTATGCGATAATATAATTGTTCTCTGATGTTAATGGAACACGTGGTATTCTAATTGTTTCTGTTGTTAAAAGGTTGAATAAAATAAGGCAAGTTTAAGAAACTCAAAATATTATTTTTATTTTAAGTCACACACAAGCGCCATATATAACTTCCATAGACAAGAGAGCTAGTGAGAGGGAGAGTCATAAGCTAATCATGTTGCATTGCTTTCAACAGTTTCTTGTCTATTTTAATGAGGACAAATAAAATTACAGTTTATAAATATAAAGAAGAACGGTCACGCCTTATTGAAAAAAAAACCAGACCCGACAGATACGGACATATCTCAGTTGTTTTGTTATTTTTATATAGTCAAATTAGGCGCTTTGCTGAAAATTTATTGGACCAAAATATATACATTTAAATAACAAAAACTTAAAAGCTAATTGATATTTAAAATTTACAATCAAATAACCTTAACCTAATTAGCTACTTAAATAATATGTAATTTACAAAATAAAAAATATGGCACCCCAGCGCACGCACCGCCGTCAGTAATGGTGCCCAATAGGTTTGCAGCATTGCCACGTTGGATGGCAAGGCTGATCCGTTGACCAAGATAGCTGTTCACCCACATATTGAGAGCTGAATATTTGCGCCGCTTGGAGCACTCGGCAGAGGCCGCCGCCGCTCCTGCAGCTAGAGAGGTACTACCTGTATGGCACGGAGCAAGCGTATCCACGCAGATTGCGTCCAATACAAGGGCCAACCGACCCATGAAGCTCATTTCAAGGAATGAGCGTCATACCGTCAAGTCTTTTGCCATCGACGCGAAAATTAAAAATATCAATATGATAA